GCACAGCTGGACTGACACAGGGTATGAGATTGGTATTAGAAGCAGGCACACCACGAAAACAAACCAGGTAAGTAGACAGACAGACAGACAGACAGACAAGCCCTGGAAGGCTGCTCAGATTATCTTTATTTCACCTAGTTAAATTAATTTTTTTTTTTCAGATAACTCTGGTATTTACTCCAGGTGACCCTGCCAGTGCTAAACCTGATATGGAGATTGTAGTGGACAAGAATTGTACAATTAAAAAGGTAATTTCCAAAAAGCATTATTATAGTTTATGATTTATAAATGAATGGACTGTGAATACATTGTAATTATTCATTGTTTTTTTAGTTTTTTTTACAGTCACTAGTTTTCACTTGGCATGTTAACTTACAATACTGTCATAGCCTAAATATACAACACAGTTTGGTTTTCGGAAAATTTGTAGATGAATACATGTCAATTTGTTTTTGTATGTGTACTCACAATATCATGAGTTATAGAATTCTTCAAACCATGCTTTTACAACAAAAATTTGAACTGGAACAAAAAGAAAACAGTTTCACACTCACTATTTTCAATGACCATACCCATACCCAAATCAAAAAAATTTTGCCCAGTATTATGCAAATAAGTATTGGTATGCCCATGTGAATATCAACACTTGCACACTTTCTATCACATGCTCTTTTCTTTGCAGTGTTTGACTTTGATGCTTGAGAAATCATGGTTAGAAGGGAGTGCTTGGCATCTCAGGAAAACCAACTGGTGTGGTGAGGAAGCGGATGTCTTGGACTACACAGTGAGTATGACATAATGCACTGTTATCTTGTCTCGCCTCTTGTTCTCTTTTTTCAACTTGGGTGCAGTGAATATTTAAAATGAATGTCAGTATTTTATTGTCAAAATTGACATGAGCCAACCAAATATGAAAACTAGTTGTGCACTTGGACAACCATGAAAATAAATACAGAAATCATAATTCAATGTAGTATTACCATATAGTGCACTCGTTTCTGCTAAAACAACTTCCGTTTTTACATTTTTTTTGAAGTTTTTTGAAAATCACAAATCCTAAAATTACTTAGACTGACTTAAACTGCCACAATTAAAGTGTATTTTGTTTAGGTGAAAAAGTTTATTTTTAGTGAATATATTTTCAAATGGAAAATAGTTTTTTTTTAGAGTGATTGACAACCAGGCATTTTATTTAAATTTGACCCCTGGATGTATCATATTTTTAGTTCCTTTCAGATGAAGTCAGTAATAGGAACTTATGTTTTTGGATTCATTCATTTGTGTGTCACAGACATGTCATGATGGGAGACATATGCATATAGATTTGTTTTTCATTTGGTTTGACCTTTCAAATAAAATGGCCGTCTTGTGACCATTTTTGCCAAAAAACTGATCTCAACCAAATTTGGCTTTGCCATCACTTATGGCAGGTTACTGATGTACATGTGTGTACATTTGTACTTGATTCAAAATGGCCGACTAGTGGCCATGTTGGTTTTATTTTCTTGTGTCTTTAACCATTTTTATTTTCAAATAGGTTATGATGCACATAAGTTTGTTTTGTGATTTGATTCAGTCTGGTCGACTGGCGGACATGTTGGTTTTATTTCATGTGTCATTAATAATTTTTTCAGACATGCTTTTGCTAGTTTTACTGTTCTGTTATTTGATTCAAAATGTCCAACTGGTTTATATAATTTTGTGTGATTTGAAAATAATCTTATTCTTAGAATGGATGCCATTTGAACTAAAACATTATTTTTAACATGCTGAATCTTTCATTCCTTATTATTGACACAGTCACTGAAAACTGACAATGACTTGTTGTAATTCTGAATTCCAGGATGCAACATTAGAGGAAGAAAATGTTAAAAATGGTCATCACTTACTCCTTGTTGAAGGGAAGTTGCCACCAAGAGGTTTCCTTAGATTACCGATATATCTGTACAGTACACCAAGCCAAAGTCTCTCCTCAGATACTGGTATTGTTTCAAGTATTACATCCAGTGTTGAAAGTAAGTTAGGGTATGTTTGTAAATTATTGTATGTTAAAGGGACATAGTCTGCAAGTTTCGTATTTTAATTTTATCAAATAGTGTAAATAATGGCAAACTTATTGAAGTGTGTATGAATAATTTGTGTGTGTAGCCTATAAGTCTGTACATTCAACTCTAGGTGGCGCTATTTAAGAAAGTGTATTGACTGGTTTCAATTTTTGAAAAAATTCTGACGGTTTACAAGGTTTTCACGCTGCTGAAACATGAGAAATCATTAATATATAGAATGATAAACTAAGCAAGTATGTTTCCAAAACCCATTCTTCC